TCATAAACATGTGTTAGTAAGAGTTTCTTTTATGAGGGTTTTTTTTTTGTGTGTGTGTGTGTGTCTGTGTGTGGTTTTGGGTTTGTTTTATTTTTTTAGGAAAGTTAAGACACAAGTGAAAATGACTACAAGGAATACAATAGCAATGAACGTGATGATGATGAATAGTAATAGTAGAACAGGCTACAAATAGTAGCTGTAACTTTACTTAGGTGATAGTATCTGGCTGAACAAATCTCAGAAACATTTGGAGCAGTGTACATAACACTGATTCCATTTAAATCAGTTCTTTTGCACAGACACTGTAATCTTTTTTGGAGGATTACTGTGAACAAATTTCTCAGTGGGGTAAAGTCATATTTTATTTTGCTAGTTTCGTTTGCTTATAAAGCTGGGACCAGATTGTGGCAGTTCGACTTTTCCATCCCCTATGGACTCCATTTACTGTGTAATCTTTATCTATTTTTGAAAACATTAAGGATAATATGCAATCTATTCTAGTACTTCATTATCCTTACTCAGTGGAATGTTTTCCCCAATTTATCACCTAAATATCTCTTGACACAATTTCAGACTGCTACATCATGTCCAATATTCGTGCATCAGTCTGCTATATTTTTAAATCTTTATTTCATATCAATTACATAAGCATTTTTGAACAAGTATTTTACATACTGTGACTGCTGTCAGAGTTTGAATTCAATAGTAAAAGCAACAGCAGAAAGGAATATGTCAAACTTTTTGTTTCTAAAAATAGCCCTTCATCTCATATGTTTAGCTGTAGATTCATTAATGCAAAACTGACATTTATGTATTGTGCTCTCTTGAGTATTATGTCTTTAGTTACCCCCCCATAAGTCTCTGAAACAAACTGCACTGTATTTGCTTCTGAGAGGATCTGCGATTGTCTGTAACCTAATCATCATCCCAGGCTTCTCTTTCCTTTCTCTTTTTCTGCATTTATTATTCAGAAGATTGCCTACTTTAATCCCTCTAAACTAATTTTTCATTCAAAATTCAATAATAAACTAAGAATAGGTGAAGTGGAAATAGCCAACATAAATGCTCCATAATTACTGGAGAATGTTGCTTATGATGAACTACAAATACATTACTTTTTATCTTAACTAATCTTTTTATCTTTACTAGAATTGCCTTTTAATATTTGTTTTAAAGGGACACTAATGTCTGCTGGTACCTTAACAACTGAGTTTTTTGGTTTTTAGTTGCTGACAAGGCTGCCTATCTGATGGGTTTAAATTCAGCTGACCTGCTTAAGGCCCTCTGCTACCCCCGAGTCAAGGTTGGGAATGAATATGTAACCAAGGGCCAAACGGTGCAGCAGGTAACAAAAATCTCTGTTTTGTTGACAAGTCCTCTGGATTTCTTTTGTTCTGCATGATAACTACAAGTGTGCTGGTTTTTATTTTAGGTATACAATTCAGTAGGTGCCTTGGCAAAGGCTGTGTTTGAGAAGATGTTCTTGTGGATGGTTGTTCGCATCAACCAACAGTTAGACACCAAGCAACCGAGACAGTACTTCATTGGTGTCCTGGACATTGCTGGCTTTGAGATCTTTGATGTAAGAACAGTGTTTTATTACCCTGCTTTTAGAAGTAACTCTATTGTGTGCCAAAGCACTTAAGAAGAAATGATGCTTTTTGTTTTTTGCTTTTGCTCTTTTTTTCTTCAGAAATGGTTTGATCCTTTCAGATTGCATTTAAAGCATCATGATTCCCACAGGTTTTCATTTTCAGTTGGGAATAGTTTTTTGTGTTGCACACATGTCAAAGGAAATCCGTAAAAGCAATTTTTTTACTTATTAGAAATAGTTGATTAACATGACATTTGGTACCTAATACAGAGACACCAGTTCCATAGACACAATTTGTGCTTATAAGGCTTGAGACATGCTTTGAAATCAGCATTTGGAAATATAGAGTAAAATATTGCACTGTGGACTCTCCCAAAACTGAATTAGCCCAGTCCAGTAGAAATCAAAACTGACAAGTTTGAAATATTAAAGTGACCTCAGCTTCTAGGTGTCATAGAAATATGAATAAAGCTTAGCTTGACAAAAGAGACACATCAACAGAAGTTTCAAACTGCTGGCTGAGTAAAGACAGAAGACTTGCAGATCCTCCTGTAATTTGGTACAAAAAGACAGCACTGTTCTTTATCCCTAGCTTTCTAAATTTACATTAATAGTAATCTCTATTTGTAATTGTGCAGTTCAACAGCCTGGAGCAGCTGTGCATCAACTTCACCAATGAGAAACTGCAACAGTTCTTCAACCACCACATGTTCGTGCTGGAGCAGGAGGAGTACAAGAAGGAAGGAATTGAATGGGAGTTCATAGACTTTGGGATGGACCTGGCTGCCTGCATTGAGCTCATTGAGAAGGTATATGTGTAATTCACAATGTCTAATATTTTCAGAAATGCGTGAATTTTTCATATATTTATAAATGTAACTTGAAAGGGTAAATGTGATATTGTAAATACATTATTTTAAAATTTGCCCTGCTGAGCAGAAGAACAATCCCTGAGATCATTAATAGTGTCCCACTCAGGAAGTTATTTCTCTATCTGTGATTCTTTATGCCTTTTCACCTTTTCCTCTTTCCTTCTACTTCCAGCCCATGGGCATCTTCTCCATCCTGGAAGAGGAGTGCATGTTCCCCAAGGCAACTGACACCTCTTTCAAGAACAAGCTCTATGACCAACACCTGGGCAAGTCCAACAACTTCCAGAAGCCCAAGCCTGCCAAAGGCAAGGCTGAGGCTCACTTCTCCTTGGTGCACTATGCTGGTACAGTGGACTACAACATCTCTGGCTGGCTTGACAAGAACAAGGACCCCCTGAATGAAACTGTTGTGGGGCTGTACCAGAAATCATCCATGAAGACACTGGCCTTACTCTTTGCCTCTGCTGGAGGAGAGGCAGGTCAGTTCTGTGAAATTCATATTTTCGTTTTTATTTAATGACTCTAGCAGAGCCGTGAATGTCAGCTAGGGTGTTCTAAAGAAATTGTATGTTGTGCAGAGTCTCTCAAGGATTGAATTTATTAATAAAGGAAAAGATAAAATGAATTTCAGGCCGTCTACTCAGCCATTATAATCCCTTGGATTATCACACACCTTTGGTCCTGTGTTCCTTTAGATTAAGTGCTGACTCTGTTTCCTCCTGCATCCTAGGTTCCTTGTTTAGTGTGACTTATACATATGAATAAGTTTCATGCAGTCTCATAGAGAAAAAAATTACAAACCAAAGTTGTAAAACCATCTTTTTTTGCTGTTCTTCAGAGAGTGGTGGTGGTGGCAAGAAGGGAGGCAAGAAGAAGGGTTCTTCTTTCCAGACTGTATCAGCTCTTTTTAGGGTAAGTACAGAAGTAATTCTCTCTATTTCCTTCTTTTTTTTTTTTTTTTTTTTTTTTTTTTTTAGTTGAAGATTGTGAACCTTCACACTAAGTCCAACAAGACCATTAACATTTGTCTGTGTCAGGAACATCTCTTTAGTTATTCATAAAAGAACTAACTGCAAGTGAGTTGAGGCCAGTTGAGGAAGGTACATCTTGATCTAACATTTCTTCAAATGTTGGAAAAAGTACTTAGGTCAGGTGACAGTTTCATTTACTCATGAGTAGACCAGGAGGCAGGATCAAGCTCTTCCTCCTCTCCCTCTGTCTTGGTAGGACAATGGTGGATCTGACTACCTGCCTCAGGGAATCTCAAGTCTGGATTGGCACATACAAATGTATGTGCATTTGCACATAATACATAACATATAATGCATAACACATAACTGTTTGCACATGACTATACATATAAACACCAGGGAAATGCCAAGGCCAGTTACCTTTCTACCAGTGGACAGAGCTTAAGGTAGATGGAAACACTCTTACTTCAGCATGTCTGACATTCAGCTACTATCTGTCATCCTGAACAGTTTTTCACACTGTGAAAGAAGTATTTGTCTGAGCAGTTTTGCCCCTGCTCCAAACCAGGGCTAAACTGAGAACAGTTAGAACCTAGCTAGTAAAAGTTCATAGGTTTGTTTTTAACAATACTTCTAGAAAGGGATACTGTAGGACCTGCCACTCATTCCTTTTTTCTATGACTTGTGACCCTATTCTCACTGAACAGGGAGTCTTTCTTGTATTCCTCTGCTCAGCCTTTGTCAAGAACATCTTCACAGGTAGCCACTAAGCTTCCCTTTTCCAGCCTTTTCTGTAAACTTGGTTCTTGCTCCTTTTCCCTTTTGTCCTATTTTTGGTTTTGTTTCTGTTCCTATCAATAGTCACTTGTCTTCCATAGAGTGAGAATCTGGCAATTACAAAGTATCATCTTTCAGTTAGAATTCTGCCTTTTGCCAAGAACTTCTGCTCACCACTCTTCATAGGTGTCCTGTCTGAGTGAATGTGTCCCTCAGTCTCATTAAAACACATCACACATTTTTGTGACTTTATCTCATGCTCAAGATTCAAAGGAAGAATAAAAGTCAAATTAGGAAGGTTGTAGGTGGGAATAATAAATTCTTTATTGTTTTGCAATACTTTTCTCACATCTGACAGTATAACTGCAGAGGTACCACCTCTTAATGAAAAATCTTTTCTCATGAACCCACAGGAGAACCTAAACAAGCTGATGACCAATCTACGGAGCACTCACCCCCATTTTGTGCGCTGTATCATCCCCAATGAAACAAAAACACCTGGTAAGAACCTCAAGTATAGAGAAATCATAGTGTGATGCAGATATTATTCTCTATGCTTTATCATAAATCATCAAATAATTGTCTTATTTGCTTAGGTGCCATGGAGCATGAACTGGTGCTACACCAGCTGCGCTGTAACGGTGTGCTGGAAGGCATCAGAATTTGCAGGAAGGGATTCCCCAGCAGAATCCTCTATGCAGATTTCAAACAGAGGCCAGTCTCCTTTCTGCTCTCCATTCTGTGTTTACTGCATAAGTTGTACTTCTTAACTATTTGAACAGTTGTGGTTATTTTTTAATTCCAACTCTAGCTGATTATTAATGAAAGAAATTATTAAAGTATTTTCCAGGAAAATACTGGAATGTATAACCAAAGACAACATGTATGACTAGCAAAAGAGAAATTGTTGAGAAATGAAGAGACAAGCCAGGTGTCCTCGCT